AGAGTCGTCGAGCTCCCTTGCTACGGCGCCGCGCACGTGCTTTGAATGTCGCTCGGTAGACCCATCGAGCGCAGCTTCGACGGGTTCACGACCAGCGTCATGCCCATGCCGGTGGCCATGTCCCATTCAATGTGGCAGTGGAAGAGCCAGACACCAGGGTTGTCAAGCACGACGCGCAAGATGGTCCAGCCGGGCTGCACGCACTCGCCGCGGAAAGAGTCGCAGGCGGCGACGGCGACCGTGTCCCGCTTCATGGGCGCTTCAAATGCATTGAGCGATTCCATACTGGGAAGATGCGCCAAGTTGGTGCCGTGCGCCATGACCCAGAACGCGTGGCCGTGCATGTGGAACGGGTGCTCGCCCTGGTTGTAGTTGATGACCAGAATCTGGACACTGGTGCGACTCTGGTGCAGCACGAGCGGGTGGATCTCCGCAGGCAGCGGGTCACCGTTCATCACCGAAAAGAGCGTTGGCGTGGTTGTTGTGTACCGGTACGGAAACGCCGGTCCGTCATCGATGGCGACGTGGGGCCCGGATACGTTGGTCGTGTCGTTCTTCTGGATGCGAATGGTAAAGTTGAACGCGAGCTCGGGCACGGGCGGCACCTCCTTTAGCAGCGGCACCAAATGCAAGTCGTCCAAGTCGATGCGATCTGTCATCGTGACATCGTCGCGTGGCGCGTCGTCGGTCGCGTTGCTGTAGGACCAGAGAGCCTTGCCGTAAATGTCTTGGCCGGTTGGCGGCACGAGAAAGAAGAGCGGCGCCACGTTGTTCATTGTGGCGCGGAGCCAGAAGGTGCCGTCACGTGACGCGTTGGTGCGCACGATGACGTCGTAGCGCTGGGCGACGTTGATACGCAGGTGCGTCACGGTTCTCGGCTCCACGTCGATGCCGTCGACGCTCACGACGGTCATCGAATGGCCGTCCAAGCTCACGTTGAAGCCCGCGAACGCAGCCGTGTTGATGAGGCGAAGCCGGTACGACGCATTGCGGCGCACGTGAAAAGTGGTGTACGCTGCTTGTGGCACACACGCTCCAACCGCAAACGAGCAGTTGAAGCGCCCTCGTCCGTTTACGAGCGCAGCGTCGGGAATGATGTCGACGGGGCGGTTGATGTCGAGACTCGGCGACTAGACGACCTGCAGTGTGAGAGCCCCATGTAAAAACGATCATTTGTACGTTGATGGCCGCAACAATGTCGGCGCCTTGGCGGTGGTACCAGTCACTGAGCTGCACGATCAGCTCTTCGTCGGATGCCACCGGTGGCGTCGCGATCGGGTCGATGATCATGGGCCCGCGGAGACCATCAATGTACTGAGGTCCGTGGTGCGAGTGCCACCAGTACGTGCCAGATTGCTACATGGTGGTGGTTGAAAATGGCGGATACAGCAGGACATCGCTCGTAGTTACCTCGAGCTTGACCGCGTAGGTGAGGCGGCCGCCAGCCGGGATCGGACACTGCGTGACGTGCGACGCGCCGTCGTACGCGTTGCTGTGGTTCTGGAAGATGCCGTGCCAATGGATCGTCGTCGGCTCGTCCAGCTCGTTGAGCACATGGACCACGAGGCGCTGGCCCTCGCGCGCGCGGATGACAAAGTCCCAGCCAAAGCCGCCGTTGACACCAATCATGCTGCGGTTGACGCCGTCGGGTGCGCCGACAATTCGGTGGAGACGCATCGTGTACGTTACGGTATTGTTGCGGCTATCATCGCGCACCGGCGAGCTGCTCGACGATGTGAGCGCGTTCATCGACGCGACAAAGGCGGCAATGAAGAGGGCGAGCACCACAAGCAATCCGAGCTCCTTGGAGGCCGCCATGCGCATGGAAAAGCAAATGATAAAGTGGGTCGTTTGAAATCAAGGATCGACAAGGCAGGTGTTTGATCAAAGAGCTTTTTTTCAGTGCGCTTCCCTGATGATGCCCGAGGATCGCTCCGGGCGTCATTATAGGACCTACATTCTCGGCCAACGAAGCTCCAGGGACAAAGCGCACAGCACCTTTCCTGTCCATGCTTGTTGGACACGGTGTGAAGGCGCCTCGCTGGTGGAGACCATTCTCATAGTCTTCGCCGCCAACATGCCCATGTCCAAGCCCGTGGCGCTCACAGCGCTCGTCGTCTTTGTGGTGCTGGCCGTGGTGCTGACGTTCGCCGTGCTTGCGTGGCAAGTCCAAGCGCCGAAAGCCAACGACCGCCGTGCGAATGCTCGCTTTAACGCCGCCACAACATCTCCGCCCCGAGCCTTGCTTCGTCAGTAGCTTGCAGCCATTCGAGTGCAGGCGGCAACCGTCGAGCATGTTGAAGTTGGTGCCAACACGCAGAATAAAATAATCTGCAAAATGAATTCGTCGACGTTAGCCACGAAATGGCATATAATTTTCAAGAAAGATCGCAACCCGCCCAGTCAGCAGCCGCAGCATCATGGGGTTCCGCGCGCTCGTCCTTCGCCTCGCGTTCGCCGTAGCCAACGCAGCGGCCAAAGACGCAAGCGGGTTTGGCCTGGCGCAGCACGCAGTCATTTTTGGGTACACACTGTACGATGCGCCATGGAGCTCACATGGCGTTCGACAGGCTCGACGGGCTCGACGTGCGCTGCCTCCATCAAGCCCTCGACAACGGCCTCGCGCCTCACATGCACTACCTGCGCTCGCACGGCGTGTACACGGACAACGCCCGCAACAACCGCCCGGCGGTGAGCTTGCCCAACTGGGCCACGATCTTTTACGGGGCGAGTGTCATGTTTCACGGCGTCACGAGCAATGCGTGGAGCTACTGCGCGCCCTCGAATCTCTCGGTGGGCATCCCGTCGATCTTGCCACCGTGCGTTGTGTACCCTGACCTCTTCTCGGTCACGAAGCAGCAGCACCCGGACGCGCGCACCGCC